TTTTGTGTGTACATATACGGTTCTGGTTTGTAGTCATAGGAAAGAGACAAACTATTCACACACTACGCTGTTATATTTTACCCTTCTGTTGTGAAACACTTTATGGCATTTACAAAGAGATCCAGTTCCCTTTGAAATGCCCGGTTCACTTTTATCTATCCATTTGCATATGAATGATTGAATGTACGTATGTATGTATGTACGTACTTATGTATATCTCCTTGTATGGATGATGTATGTTCGTATGTAACATGTGAATATTTTTGCACGTATTTATGCAAAAATACGATACTGTTTTGGTGTGACATATCAATATAGAACATTTACATAAGACATATAAGAATTACGTTCATCACCGTTAACTTCTATCACATTATTCATTTAACTTTGGATGCGAGAGCTATGTTATGAAAATTTCAAACAAATCAAAATTGAAATTAAGCATAAACCAGATATATCTGATTTCCAAAGCCAAACAAACAGAAAAAAAACAAAAGTCAAAGCCAGTTTTGAGCGAGACTAAACGCAAAAAAAAAAAAATGAAATGATAGCTGTTTAAGAACGACTGAACAGGTAGGCGAGCAGGCAAACAGATAAACAGGCAGGCAGTTCAGCAAACAAGCAATCCAGGACACAAGCAGACTGTTCAGCCAACAAAGCAGTCCAACACATGCAAGTAGTTCAGCCAACAAGCAGTCCAGGACACAAGCAGGCAGTTCAGCAACAAGAAATCCAACGCATGCAAACAGTTCACCAAACAAGCAATCCAGGGCACAGCAAACAGTTCACCAAACAATCAATCCAGGGCACAAAGCAGACTGTTCAGCCAACAAGCAGTCCAACGCATGCAACAGTTCACCAAACAAGCAGTCCAGGACACAAGCAGACTGTTCAGCCAACAAGCAGTCCAGGACACAAGCAGGCAGTCAGCCAACAAGCAGTCCAGACACAAGCAGGCAGTCCAGCCAACAAGCAGTCCAGGACACAAGCAGGCAGTCCAGCCAACAAGCAATCCAGGGCACAGCAGACCGTTCAGCCAACAGCAGTCCAACGCATGCAAACAGTTCACCAAACAAGCAATCCAGGGCAACAAGAGACTGTTGTCCATCACACAATCAGCCAACAAGCAGTGTTCAGCCAACAGCAGTCCAACGCATGTTCACCAAACAAGCAATCAGGGCACAAGCAACTGTTCAGCAACAGCAGTCCATCGTTCAGCAACAAGCAGTCCAGGACACAAGCAGGCAGTCCAGCCAACAAGCAGTCCCAGCACACAAGCAGGCAGTCAGCCAACAAGCAGTCCAGGGCACAAGCAGACCGTTCAGCCAACAAGCAGTCCAACGCATGCAAACAGTTCACCAAACAAGCAATCCAGGGCACAAGCAGACTGTTCAGCCAACAAGCAGTCCATCACACAACCAGCCCGTTCAGCCAACAAGCAGTCCAGGACACAAGCAGACTGTTCAGCCAACAAGCAGTCCAACGCATGCAACAGTTCACCAAACAAGCAATCCAGGCACAAAGCAACTGTTCAGCCAACAAGCAGTCCATGTTCAGCCAACAGCAGTCCAGGCACAAGCAGACTGTTCAGCCAACAAGCAGTCCAACGCATGCAAACAGTTCACCAAACAAGCAATCCAGGACAAGCAGACAGCAACAAGCAGTCCATAACACCAGCCCGTTCAGCCAACAAGCAGTCCAGGACACATGCAGGCAGTTCAGCCAACAAGCAGTCCAGGACACAAGCAGGCAGTTCAGCCAACAAGCAATCCAGGGCACAAGCAAACAGTTCACCAAACAAGCAATCCAGGGCACAAGCAGACTGTTCAGCCAACAAGCAGTCCACAAGCAGACCGTTCAGCAAACAAGCAGTCCAAACGCATGCAAACAGTTCACCAAAAACAAGGCAATCCAGGGCACAAGCAAACAGTTCACCAAACAAGCAATCCAGGGCACAAGCAGACTGTCAGCCAACAAGCAGTCCAACGCATGCAAACAGTTCACCAAACAAGCAATCCAGGACACAAGCAGACTGTTCAGCCAACAAACAATCCAGGGCACAAGCAGCCCGTTCAGCCAACAAGCAGTCCAGGACAGCATGAGGCAGTCCAGCCAACAAGGCAGTCCAGTCCAACAAGCAGTCCAGGACACAAGCAGGCAGTCCAGCCAACAAGCAGTCCGGACACAAGCAGACCGTTCACCACAACCAAGCAGTCCAGGGCACAAGCAGACCGTTCACCCAAACAAGCAGTCCAGGACACAAGCAGCAGTCCAGCCAACAAGCAGTCCAGGACACAAGCAGGCAGTCCAGCCAACAAGCAGTCCAGGACACAAGCAGACGTTCACCAACAAGCAGTCCAGGGCACAAAGCAGACCGTTCACCCAACAAGCAGTCCAGGGCACAAGCAGGCAGACACCAGGCCATCCACACCTCTCGCGCTGGCCAGAATATTCAACGGGGGGGAGGCACAGGAAAGGTCGCAGGAAACAGCTGAACTAA